TCACAAATGCGTGACCGCCATCAAGTTTAAGCTCTCGATGGGCGGGTTTGCCCAAAGGAGGGCGCGGGATTTATGTAGCTATCACAAAGCTTGTTTCTAAGCTCCTCACCCAGGAGTGCAACACCATACGCTCCCAGTAACTCCCACTTTCTTCATGAAAATGAGCTTAACACAGCGATAAAAATCCGACACAGTTTGCCTATCCAATCGTATGAATAACAACTTTTCCAGGCTGCAGACAGCCCTATTGACGAGTAGACGCCAACGACATGCTGTGACATAGTTCATGTGTCCGTACGGGCGTTTCCTAGAGGCAATACACGTCTGGCAGAGCAATGACGAACTATGCTGGGCGGAACATTCTAGATAGCATCGCATTTGCACAAATAAGCTCGAACTATCTTGGCCGTAAAGTCAGGATGAGTAAAGAAAACTAGAGGAGATGTGGAGTTCGGCATTCCCTTCCCGGATGTTCCAACATCCAATCCAAGCATTTGGAAGCACGAGAGTACTGTTAGGTGCTATGCCGGGCATGTTGATGATGAAATCGGCACGTTTATCCTCCCCAAGAGATCCAATCTGTGAGGGAATCGTCAAGCCACTTCTAGCCACTTGGCTGCTCGCTTCCATTGCAAAGAAGTTTCTATTCGAAGTTCTTCGCTAAATAACCGTCCACCTTAAAATCCACCTATAGACCAGCTTTCCCTTTGGCTGCCTTGATCTAAGGTAACCAAATCCAGGCTATACAGCTCCGTCTCCACGTTTGTTGAGGCATGCACACACATTCTGATAGGTAAGAAAAAGTGACATGTGGACGAGACGTTGGAAATTGAAAAGTGATGTATGGATCCTTGATAGAAGCTGCTTTTAACAAGACTCGAAATATGCGCGAATTTTGGCACATTTATTGGTGTAGTGTTTGGACTATTCGAGAATGGGAAGTGGAGATGCAGAGGGTAGACATCACTGCCGTGACACGAAACTCTCTCCAAGGTCACCGAACTCTGATCATGAAATCGGCTGGCGGTAGTGGATCAGCGACGGCAAGTCACCCGCCGCGGCTGCCGCCGTCAGGCCAGTTATAACACGGCTGGTTCTTGGTGTAGCTGGGACGAAAGCTTTTCTGATGCCTACCTCCC